GGCGCACACAGAGACACACACAGAGACACACACAGAGACACACACACAGAGAGACACACACACAGAGACACACACAGAGACACACACACACAGACACACACACAGACACACGCCGTGTCAAGACGGAACGACGAAAGGTTGGCTCGGGGTAAGGGAAAGGAGGGGAGGTTACGAGAGAGACACTGGGCAGTTCGGGGAGTTCGCGTTTCGTTATTTTATTTGTGGGGTTCTCAAAGAGGAGCTGGTGGTGGTGGTGGGGGGGGCAGCTGATCGGGACAGCTTCATAGCCTTACCCCCCACCCCCGCTGCGTGCTGACACGGAGAGAAGGCGTACGCGGCGAAAGCGAAGCCACTCGGGAGAGCCGTCGAGGGTCAGGGTTCCAAGCAAGCAAGCAAGGCTGCTTTGGCTTTCGTGAGACCTTGTAGACTTGGGGAAGAACGAGCGCCGATTTCTCGTGGTTGGGTTTGGTTGTTGTTGTTGGTGGTGGTGGTGCAGACAATAACATTTCTACAGCAGCGTGGTTTGGTGGCTGTGTTGTCGACATCCCCTCCCCCATCACCTCCACTCGCCCTCCTCCTTCCTCCTCCTCCTCTGCCAACTATTAACATCCAAAAGAAATAACGAACAGGATTATTACTACGGGGAACAAGAAGACGACTTGGAGAACAAAAGAGCCAAGTAAGTGTGCATGGGATAGAACTGGCCGGGCTTGTTGTGCTTTTTAATTGTTGGCGCAGTGTGGGTTGGGTAGAGTGGATTCGTGTTGGGAAATGACAACCGACATGGAAAGAGGAGGAGGGAGGGTTGATGGATCACGAAGAGAATCGGGATGAGTTGCTGGAGGTGGTGGTTAGTGGTTGGTGGTGGTGGTGGCAGCAGCAGCAGCAGTACGCGTTTCTTTTGTTTGCTCGCTGACCCAAAGCCTTTAAAAACCAACGCCAGTTTAACCCTTGAATTGTCGGTCAACACCTTCCATTCGGCTCGCTCGTTTGTTCGGAGGACGCGCTCAACCCCTTTGTTGTTATTGTTTGTTGTTATTATTATTATTCTCGGGTCCCCAATATGTTGTGGGTTGTCCCGAAGAGACCCCCCCCCCCCAACATCGCCCCATCGATTACGGTTCAGAACGTTGGACGTTCGGTAGTAGGACGAACGCGGGCTTCCTTGAGCTTAACAGCATAAACAACTACATGAAATGGATAGATACTCTGTGGCATGGATTTATTTTTTCTTTCATAAAAGAGGCTGCGAGCGAGGTTCGTTCTCGTGTTTTGCATGATTCCACATGGTCTCTCTCTCTTCTCTCTCTCGCCAGCGTGTGTGTGTTTTTTTCTTTCCATCGTGAAATGCATAAATACGCATACGGATTACATTTCACACGAGGGCTTCAACGTTATGTTTTCGTCTTGCTTAAGACAGCAACATGTCCAGCAGCTAAATACCATTGTCGAGATCTTCTAGCCACGACAGGAATTCGGGAGGGGGCTGTTCGTGATACAGAAGGATAAAACCTCCGTGTGTTCATGTGTACGTTGGGCTTAAAACACAACAACAACAACAACAAATAATATCTGTCCTGGTTGCATTTGACGTTATCGATTCATGTAACGTATTACATTGGTCATGGCGAGACTTCACGGGATGGGTTCTCTTCTTCTACCGAGGACGAACGCACAGGAATTGTGTTCAGTAGGCTTTGGACGTGTTTATTATCTGCCATGTGGCTCTTGGCTCTTCTCTAGCTTGCTTATCAGCTGTCGGTCGCGAAGAAAAAGGACCTTTAATGCTGTATAATGTGAAGTAAATATCGTTTACTCTTAGAAGCGTAAGACCAGGTGGGAGACTTAATCGTGCACACCACAGATGTGTTAAAGTGTGCTGCTCGGCAATGGTGACAACCAATAAACCCCAACCATTGTGGTTTTTGTGCACCGCAATTTGGCCATCATATGTTGTATTGCCCGTATGTGCTCATTTGTTTGCAATGTGTTAATCATACACAGGCTTATATGACCGAATCGGATTAAGATGCGTTCATGTTTTATGCAATTTATCAAACGACAATCACAGGATGATTTGCTGGCACGTACGAAACCTTGCCGTCAAAATCCTCACCACACCATGAAATTGATACTGGCTTATTTATGTGCGAGTGGCTGTGGAAAACGTGAAAGCTGTGAGATTTGGTATTTTTTATATTATATACAGACCTATTACAGGCAAATATGTGTCATTGATATCTTCCGCAACAAGCCACATAACGCTCACAAACATTGAACCGTGTTATCTGAAAACTGGCGATGTTTACACGTGTTTAAGGAGATCTCAATTTTATTTTCATGATGATGGAGGAAAGAGATTGAGGACAAATGGCAAAAGCAACCTTGCAGTATCAGAGATCTACCTTACATTGCTGGCATAAGCATTCGTTTGGCAGTTGGCAACTCATCTTTCTCTTTTTGGCAAGTAATTTACAAAGCCAGATTTATAATCTGTGCACTCATGCTCTGAAAAGCATTCTATCAAAACATGCTGAATAAGCTTTGCATGTGTGCGCATGTCCTGTGGTTTCCCATGTGTTATCTCAATTGGCTCCTTACCTCGTTTAAATAATCCAAGCCTGACAAATCATACGGGGTGGGGAGAGTGGTGGCACAGTGAGGAACGCAGTGCATTGTGAACCTGCCCACTTAAGTTTGATTCCCGATTACGGGGTAACATCGGAGGCAAGTGATATCTGAACTTGTCATTAAATATGGTCAGCTGCCCCCTTGATTGATACGGCGTGAGTAGGCCTTCATCCAGCAATGGATTGACAAAGGCCGGTGCATTGCTATTATTATGAAATCACATACAGCTATTGTATCAGTACTATTCCTCAAGTATGATGAGCAGGGATCTGCCGCTGTGTAATACTGAGCAGAGCTTTCACCGGTTCGACTCCATCTTCCGGCAGGGCATTCGCAGCTTTTGAGACTTTCTCAAATCCCTCCTCCACCCGCTGTGCATCCAGCAGTATAAATGGGCACACCACAGTCGATCCTGGGCAGGTTTGCGTGTGGTGGGGTAAAGTGTGGTTTACTTCCTACCTCTTCCAAGACCTCTGATTAACACAGTTGGTCCCGCACCTCAGATTAGCACGGTTGGCTACGTACGGTGCGATAGAAGTTCAGCGTACATAAATACAAGACATCTGGCCAGTGTGGAAGAGTATGCCGAATACACCTTCCTGTAGTGGAGGCCTTTCCACCAAATTTTGCAGGGGTCCACCTTCAACTTTTTTACCGTAAACTGTGGAAAGTATCCGGCATATGACGGGGGGGGGATCTTAAGCAGTGGGTCAAATAGGGCTTTTCCACACGCCAGCATTGATTGCACAGAGATTTAACACGATATACATAGTGTATACAGTACGATGCTTTTTAATGCAACGTGACTTCCAAAGGTCTGTTTACTCCAAAGGACATTAACTTAACACACCCGCATCATCACATACCTTGATATTTAACGCTGAAGGTCAACCGCTCCGTTGTGAGGGTGCTTTTGGGAGTGCGTTGAGGGCAGGATTTGCAAAAGAAAGAGAGGATTTATGGCAGACTGGCTGCAGTATTGCTGGCGAGGATCAAAAAGCCTGTTAGTTTTTTTCCAAAGTTTCTGCGCTTCATGTTATGCCAATGGAGTTACTGTGACCTGTGAATACTGGTCCATTGTGTTGCTCTGTACTGCTCAGCAGTTCTCCGTTTATAGTGAGGATGATGCAGGCTAACCATGTTTACATCCCGATGGGAAATATGGAAGATTAGTCTTTTTTTTCGCCTACCGTCTGCCTAAATACCCACACTGTATGTCTAATGGACTTAGCAATCGTGTCTTTGTAGTCTGATTTGCTTATTTTCTGTTAATGGGAATATGAAAGCGTGGTTGCGTGTAATGTGGGAAATTACATCGGTGACGGTGGTGGTGGGGATTTTTGCGAGAATTATTTTTGGATTGAAGTGTTCCTGCAGTGATGTTTAATGACTGAAGTGTCGTATGCGATAGAACACTGGGTTCACGAATACAAGCTTTTAAGCCTTTACTTTGCGTTGGTTATTGAATTATGTCTTAAACAAACTGCTTCGCTTTTTGTTATTCGTCCTTGCATTCTCGCCACACAATTTGTATTATGCTAAGCAGGGCTGAGAATGGCGAGTGCCTGAATGGGTGACCACCATGCATGAAACTGGTGTTTTAGGCTGTCGTGGGGCTGCATTGTCAGCATATAGCAATTCAGCAAAATTCATTGTTGTACTGTACTATGCTCGGACGTCTATTCTCCCCGCCTTCACCAACCCGCATTGGCCAGCCTGGTGAAGAAGCGTGAAATAACGCCAACGGCCCCGCATGGTGTAGGGAGGCCCTCATCCAGCAGTGGACTGGCAGAGGGGCTGTACGTATACAAATCAGCTCATGTACAGGTGCTCGTTGGATTATCAAACCCGCAGGGTTGTGAGAGCTGGCGATGACTTGGGCAGGCCTTAATCCAGCAGTGGATCATGGCTGGTGATGATGATGATGATGATTTTACATTATACATACATCCGTGGGCCATATATTGGGTCCTCGGGACTAGCAGCACTCGTCGGATCATGTGCTTTACCTTACGCGGGTTGGCGATCAAACCCAGACGTGTGTTTCGTTGGAGGTGGAGCAATGTGGGGGACGGGCGACGCGGGGTTGATTTGCGAGTTGTGTTGCGCCGGCAGCGTTGACACGAGGCCATGTCGAGTGCGGCTGAGAGGGAGCAACGATCCGGAGACAGCCCTGGCACGAGCGGCACCGGCTCGGACGCTGACCAGCCCGAGCGTGAGCCTGCCCAGCCGCGCAGGAAGGAGGCCAAGATTCCGGGCAAAACTGCAGCCAAGCTGTCGACCAGCGCAAAAAGGCGAGTGATTTGCGGATTTTTGATCGCCGTTGTCGTCATCGTCATCATCATCATCAAGGTGGCTGGGTGGCAAACAGGTCGGAGTGCTGAGTTAGCACCATTGATGTACCAGGTTTGGATCCTGGTTTCATGCTACTGCTCGTGATTCAAATGGGTTCTCAAGTGGAGTGAGTTGATGGTCTCAGCCCGGTTAATATTGACTTACATAAAGACGCATAGACTCACATTGAGACCTATAGAATTGCGTAGAGTTTGTTACGGATAAACCGTGTTCTCAAGTGTAGTTTCATTTTCGTTGAGGAATGAGCGCACCAAAAGTATTACATTAAAGTTGGTTCTTGCACTTTAATTTTGCCCAAAATTTCAGCTCCAGAAAACTAATATTTAGGGTTGACTGTCGTGCGATGAACATGTCTCTTGGTAGGATGGGTAAAAATAATGTCACCTAATGCATCAGAGGTCACTTGAAGGGATCTCTAAAGTAGATCTGTGGTTTCTGCTTCCGTAGGCCGTTCGCTAAATTGTAGGGTTGCATTGCCGTACGAGAGATGTGAATGGATGCTTCATCTCATGAGATGACGGCAATAGCACAATCGGAATAAAATCGCGGGAAATGATGAAAAGAAATACATGAAAACATTATCGTCATTGTATGTACGTATGTGTGTTGGAACTTCTTTTGCGTAGTATGCATCCAGCCGTGCTAATTCGAGGTGTGGGGGAAGGACAGGAAGTACTTATCATGGATGCGTTCATGCAACTTCACGTGTTATGTAAAACGTAAAAGCTGATGAGGCATTAGATTGTGTCATTTACTATGGAGTAAATTCCACAGTTTTGGTATAAGAATGAACAATGGGCTGCCAACATTGAAAGTGGTGGTATGTATTCTTTTTATATCGACAAAAGTAAAACTCGAGTGTTGATTTGCGCACATCCCGACTTGTGGATGTACGTACTCGCAGTGTACCAGGCATCATAATTTGACAACGTTCTTGTAATTTTCTCCATGTCTGTCAATGCTAAAATACACATCTTAGACCAAAAGTAATGTCTGATTAAGTTATCTGTACTTTAAATGTCGTTATCGCCGCAAGTGTGATTTCACTCGTGGCAGCCATTCAAATCTATCAGTTAGCTTCTTAATAGCTCATACACCAATGGTTGATCATCAATTTTTCACTATGTTCTTCACTTACATCATAATGTGTCTTTACATTGGTACCCGGGTGTGGAGCGGTGGTGCTGCGGTTAGAGCGCTGTGCAATGAACTCAGCTACCCGAGTTTTAATTCCCCGGCCACGGCTAACATCATTGGCGAGCGATAGCTAACCCCTTCCTGCCCCTTGCACAAACCCACCAGTGTGGTAAAGTATGATTAGAAAAAAACAAACACATTACCAACATCGCATGGGAAAGTGTGTTCATTCATCGTTGAATTGAAATGGTTGGGATAATTTTTTGTTTACTACTATTGATTTTCAGTACGTTTCTACCAGCATGCTCACACGACATTAGGTAGTGAGGTTTGTTTTTTTTCATCTCCTCCCACCCTATTTCCCTACTTATTACATTGAGTCCAAAATAAGCAGTCCATGAAGGTTACACAGCAGGGCATTGATACTAAAGCAAAGAGTACCACCCTTACAAGGCCTGAACAACCAATCGATTCATCTCCTTTTTTGTTTATGGGTTGTCCCAACACTCCCTACTTTGGAATAATATGTATTTTATTATTAATTAAACAATGACATATATTGCACTTGAATTTACGCTGCGGGAAAAAGAGAAATGCAAATTGTACGGGTTGAGGCTGATGAGGTTTTTATGCAGGACTAGAGGCGAGGATAGGGGATAATGCTCTGAAGTGAAAAAAGAAAAGTGATTTATTGTGTGCCATGACGTGTAACTGCTTATGCAGTCCCCAGCATGAGAAGGAATTGTTAAGAGTCATCATTAAAATGACGGTATTTTATATGGTGACGCTGTATTCGATGGCGCTCTCGAAGGTCAATGCAGATATTGTGGCCCGAATGCCGTAATTGCCGTGCGTGAATTAAATTACCGCGCAGTGTAAATCTAGACAGAGTTGTTCGACTGCCACAGGTGACCACTGATTATTTAATCGTGTCCCAAACGGCCGAGTAACATTGTCCGCTTTCGTTGCTCACACCATGCATTTTGAAATGGATATCGTGCGCCCCCCCCCCCCCCCGTGTCGCTACCGTTGGCCATGGATGCTGAGCCAAATTGCTGAGGAATTGTCTCTTCGTTTTGGTCGTCCGACTGGCGTATTAAAGCATGGACACTCGTAGGCACAAAAGTGGCTTTTAAATTGAAGAATAATTTAATCCTGCAAGCAAAAGGCTATAACATTGAGAAGGGTCTGTAGTTTAAATAGATGTGGGTGGTCTGTTTGGAATCTTGCCAAATGCAAAGGCGCATTCGCTAAGGATCAGATTTCTCTCGGTGCTTGGCTGTCACTGCTAATCTGTTTTTCTTTGGGCATGTTGAGTTAACGCCTTCTAAGTATAAAAAATATTGCAAGTTTTTCAGTGGTTTCCTGGCATTTTCATGTTTAAAAGATCATAGCATATTTTGTGTTGCTGTTATTTACTTGACGTACCACGTAATGCACGGTAATAATTTTGGGGCGTATTTAACTGTCCGAGCGTTTGTCGCTCAGTTACACGCTGAGAGCTACATTTGTTGATTACGTCTATGCCGTTCATTTTGCGATTGACATGGTAATCAAATATATCCACTAATTTAGCTTTTTGTTACCTGCCGCTAAATATATATCAAGCAGTGTCATTCACAGGGTGACAAGTAAATGTCCTTTCTTTTTTTTAATATATATTCGCAACATTATACATTTACACTTTGTTAAAAAGCCTCAAACTTTCTCTGGCATGTTGATGTCCGAAATTTCGCTCTGTGCCGGTAGCAGTGTCGGACGTGACACCAGACACAGCACGCCGAATGACTCGAAAACACATCGGAGAGCTAGACAACAAAACTGCGAAAAACCCAAGCAGTATTACCCTCGGACTTCAATCAATTTTGAGAGCCCATTGAGACTATAAGTCTCTTTTGCAAGTGGCTGGATAGCCTTAATGGTCGTCAGCGTTAGGCATGCGATGATGCATCTATTCGTCAATATGGCAACCGATTGATATGCTCATGATACAGCCCTTTGCCATTCCATTGCTGGATGAAGGTCCTTCCCATGCCATGTTGGTCACGAGGGTTTTTTTTTACCATACTTCACCATGCTGGTCAGTGTGGGTTGGTAAAGAAGAGAGACCGGATCAGATATCACTCATCGCTGATGATTTCCATGGCCACGTATCGGACTCGGACTGCCGGATTCATAGCGCAGTATACTAACCACTGTGCCACCCTAAATAACAACTGTGTAAATACAAAACCTTGTTACTCCCATATGGAGGAGGTGATGATGATAATAATAATGGATCTCAATAGACCCTCGCATGGACCCTGTATTTTCTTAAAATTTACTTTTTATTATGCAATTATGCTGCATAAATTGCACTGTGAAATGGATTATATCCATGGTTAAGTGTAATTTACCGTTGTGAGCTATCTCTAGCGGTAATGGTAATAAAGATGCAGCTGTAATATACGTTGCGGCTCGGGGTTGTGAGCGCAGCGCCGACTGGTTTGTGTGTCCAAGGTGACCAAATGTTACCTTCTTCGCCTGGTACACAGGGGGTCGGAGGTTCGATGCCAACCCTGACGCCTGTATATTTGGAGTTTGCATGTTCTCCGTGTGGTCATGTGGATGTTTAAAAACGTGTTTCGATTATTTCACTGCTATAAATTTCCACATGATAACCCACTTAATTGAGCGATCATTTGTGGCCAGGTCGCATGTAAAAAAAAAGCTAACAGCTCGGTGGGCTTCACCGTGCAATATAAAAAAATAGTTTAGTATTATTTGTATTCTTTTTTGTCATTTGCTTTCCTTTGCTATACTTTGCACTCCTGTCGTGTTTTTGTACCGTTGTTGTTATGTTCTGACCTGCCTCAACTGGAACATCTGTGAAATATAGATATATATACAGCTCGTCGGATTCCTCCAGTATAAATAAATGTTCTGATTCTGATAACTGACCCAGTTTATGTGTATGGGGGAATGCGTGCAGGATCCAGAAGGAGCTCGCCGAGATAACGCTCGACCCTCCGCCCAACTGCAGGTGAGTTGAAGGGGCTCCCCGACCCCTCGCGTCTCGCTAAATGTCATCATCAGCCGGCGCACGGCAATGGAAGCAGCCACACCGTGAAACGTTGGGGGGGGGGGGGGGGGGGCAGTGTCGTACTGCTGAATGGTTCCCGGTTGTTTATTTGGCGAGATTACATTTAGGGTCCATGGAGTTGCGCCCAACTGCGTCATGGCTAAGTGGAGGTTTATTGTACAATGATCATGTTGGGACAAAAAACAATGGTGCATGAGCATGCATAAGAAAAATCTCAACACATTTGTCATAATGCCACCCTGAATGGGGGGGGGGGGGAAGAGATATATAATAGGTGACATTTTACAACACTGTCCTTGAAGAAGACGAAGAAGGGCAATTGCCTGAAACGTTGCCTGTCATATATTTCCCCCTATTAGAGGGCAGCGTTATTGACGAATGTGTTGCTTTATAATTGTATCGAATCTATACTGACTGGCTACCGGCTCGGTGCTGAGACACGTTTCCGTACACTGCTGTGTATTGAACTGGTCTGCGGTCAGCACAATCGATCAATTTATGTCACCTTGTTTGAAGGGATGCAAACGGTGATTCTCATCCAAAAATGTCGTGGCTGTGACTCTTGAGCAGCTGTACCTGGGCGGCGTGTGAACACCCGCGACATTGAAAACAATGTTTTTATTTAAAGCTTTCTTGACTGCAGGGATTCATATTCTTGGTTCTTTCGGTAAAGTCATGTAGAAGGGAAACAATAAAATAATAAAAATATAAAACAATAAAATTCTCACGACGTTTCAACTGCAACGCACGCAATCATCATCAGGTGTGAAAACCACAGCAAGAAAATTTGAAAAAAGTGGCGTTTTTTTAACGTTAGCACCACGGAGAGCGATTTGGCAGTTATTCAGATGGACGAGTTCATCTATGTTCGGAAAAGAGGAGGGGGGAGACGAAATTAATGGATGCGGTCTGAAAGCCACCGTAAGCGTGAACAATCAATTAAGACCCGAAATGGTTTATCAAATCCTTCCAATGATTGCTAAGCCAGAATCCATCTTCTCGGTTGAAATTGTCTCTGTGTTTGTATATGTGGATAGCCTCATGAACGAATCTCTCATGGTAGCCAGATGGCTTGCAAAGAACCTCTGTCTTGGAGAAGTCAATGTCATGTAAGCCTTCTGAATTATAACAGTGATCTGCCACGGCCGAGGTGTTGGTCCTACCGTGTTTTAGGTCTGCTTTGTGTTAACGAATGCGGTCAGAGGCATGTCGTTTGGTTTCTCCAATGTAACTAATACCACAGAGGCAACTTAGTTTGTAGACGCCAGGGCACTGTATGTCCGGAATCACATCTTTTACAGACGGAACCAGATCACGGATTTTATGTAATGTGTTGAATCTCCCTTCTACGTGACTTTACCGAAAGAACCAAGAATATTGAAAACAATGTCAAAATTAGCGCTACTTCTGTCCTCTTCCTCCTGCTCCTCCTCTTAACGATGACATTATGTTGAGAATTAAACAAAAAAACGAAAACTCCCAACACTTTTGTTAATGACAGGTTTGCCTTAAAAGGATGAGTAATATAATAGGCGACATTTAGGGCAGTTGCCTTTCTTCATAGCAAACGTATAGAGAGAGGCAAGAGAGGGAAGTCGAGCAAGAATAATCCTCTTCACTCAGGAACACCACACTAAGTCTTAAAACTATTCATCTGGATAGTCCTGCATACCTGTCAACCCATACGGTTTACTCGTATTGTTGTACAGGGAAATTGAGTTTTCAGGTCCATATCGCATACAGCTGTTTCAATAAATAAATACATTCATATTGGTTTGTGTTTCGCCTTTTTGATGAGACTTTATAGGATGAACGTTGAGATTTATAAGGGCACGGGGTGACCAATAAGGTCTGAATTGGTCTGTAATAAGGTGGGTTAACAGGTGTGTTCCTGTGTTGGGACTTCTGACCATTTTGCACGTCCGATTAGCATGGTTGGCTACGTACGGTGCGAAAGTAGTGTAAAATACATACGGAAATAATTATATTTGTGAGTATTTGACAGAAGCCTGACTACCCGGAGAAAATCCTTCCACACGAGGGGATAGCAGTCAAAGCTCGACTCACGAGGTTTTTCTAGTTGTGCTGTATAGCTCTGATCTGTTTTGGGGTTGTATCGCGTGTTTTTTCGGTATGATGTCTGACATTTCACTCCCAAATATTTGGAGCTTCTTCAGGAACTGGGAGTGAAACATTAGAGAGTTACTTAAAGCGCTGCACAGATAGGTGCAGGACTCCAATGTTCTACAGCCACTTCCTGTCTAGCTCACAGCTCAAGTCTACAACATCTGGTATTCTCAGGCAGTCTTCTTTCAAAGCACTAGCCAGGCTCAACCCGTCTTGGGGTCGAGCACATTCAGGGTGATTTGATCTTAAATAACAAGAGATTCGGGATGAATTATTGGCCTCATAGGAAGTAACATGAAGCAATAAATTAACTTAACTCGAAATATTTGGAGCAAAATTAAAATACTGTGGTGGACTTTACTCAAGGAAAGGTGTGGTTTCCTGATAAAAAAAATCTATAATTTACAGCCCTCTGTCAATACCTCCACTGGATTAAGGCCTCCGCACACCATGAGAGTCGTGGTATACACATTGCATTTTGGATCGGCAACAGACTAAAAAATTGCACTCGTCATTGATATATCCTCCAAGTGAATGGTATCACAGTACTTTTTCGATGTAAAGCTTTCGTAACTGCAAGGATTAATCTTCTTGGTTCTTTCGGTAAAGTCACGTAGAATGAGAATAAAATAATAAAAAATATTATTTAATAAATAATATTATTTAATTCTCATTCTACGTGACTTTACCGAAAGAACCAAGAAGATGAATTACAGTACTTTTCGCCTGTACTTGAAAGCATTTAAGAACCCGCTTTGGAGAAATGTTTCCCTTCTGAGGTTTTCAACCTTTATTCAGTTGCCTCAATTTAATTATTTTGATCATGGTCTGCCTTCGCTCAGTACTATCTGTATGTATATTGAACTTCTTTCGCACCGTACGTAGCCAACCATGCTCATCGGAGGTGCGAAACAGGTGGACAGTTATTTTTGCGTTAAGGTTCAGTGCCCAGTTGAGGGATGACTCGCTCAGTCGTCGTCATCACTCCAGGGGGGAGCAAACCTTTGTACCACTTCTTTGGGAAGTCACGATTGCTTGTCGCATGAGCACAGATTATGAGAACATTGCAGTAGCAAACACAAATGATTAGCATTGAAGAATTACAGCTTTAACGGACTGTCGTGTTTAAAATATAACAACAAACAAAACACCTAAGTGAAAAGTAACACGTCAATTATATTTCTTCTGCAATTCCTTACCGTTGTCTTTCAGAGAGAGAGAGAGAGAGAAAAAAAAAATAGGTTGTGAGAAAAATATCTTGGCTTTTTTGCATCGGCGTCTAGCGGCTGTGAACGTGACGCGTCAGGAATACTCGGCGCGCGTCGTGGAAACACGCTCGTTTGGACGTTTTCGTGCGCGGTGGATTCGGGTGTTGCGCGTGCGTGGAGATCGTGGCCCCTGGGGGGGGGGGGGGGGGGGGGGGGGGAGGGGGCTTTCATCCGATCTGCCGTACGAGCCGTTGCCATCCTCCATTAATGTGCTCGTATGATTCCCGCGGGCCACAGCACTGGCCGCATTATCCCGAGAGCCAAGAAAGAAATCCGCGGCAGCTCTTGAATAAAATTTTCTGAAGACGACGAATAAACGAAACGCATCCTTGCAAAAATGCTACAAACAGGGGAACTATGTAAGAGTTGGATTGCTTCCGTGAAAATGTACTCGGCGAACGATGACCAGCCTGTTGCATCTACATTTGAAGGAATTTTATTTTTTTATATTGGTTAAAAAAAAAAAAGCGAAGTTGGATGTTTACAGGCTCTGCTTATCCTCGTCTGCCAAAACTGGCCTTGAATGGGTGAACTCTTGTTCCGTGCTTCCCGCAGCACAAATTATGGTCGCAAAAGTGGCAGGCAGTTGAACACCAAGAAATCTGCACACGCTTCGAATGCGTAAAGCATGCATACGTCATGCACATCGATTCATTAACCTGAAGCCAAATGCAGCCTTTTGGCTCAATAATAACAATTAAATAACAAGCTTGGGGGTGCTGCCATGGTGTAATGGTTAGCACACGGGACTTGCAAGTCTGTAAGTCGTCAGGTTCAGTGGAGCACGTTCCTTGAATCGCCCACCAGCCTCTGTCCACCCAGCAGCATGCAATAAATGGGTACACAGTTAATCAATAGATTGGCAGGTCACGTATGGTCGGGGGTAAAGTGTGGGTACTTCGACTCTTCCCGGACGTCTGGTCGGCATGGAGGAGTAGGCCAAATACCTTTTAAGCAGGGGTATCGAGAGCCCCCTTCGAGTGTAGACCTTTGTGACACCAGTTGCATCAGAAAGCAGTTGCGGTGTGAGGTTGTATTTGCATATTCGGTCTCATTGGACAGGCTATTTAACCGGTTATGTGCAGCATTATGAACATGGCATATGATGAATGGAGGACATTACTAAGTTGTTAGATTTGTGTGTTTGGCTCTCGGTATTGTACAATAGTTTGTAAGGAATATATATATATTACTCCAGGGGAGCGGTGTCACCTAGGCTGACACTGCTATATAAACCCGGGTAACTAAGTTTGATTCCTGGCCATGGCTAACAGTAGCACGTGATAACTGCTGATTCAGTCCTGGGCACCCCCCCCCCCCCCCCCCCCCCCACCATTCCTTCACTTCCCAACACTGACAAGTGTGGTGAAGTATGGTCAAACATAATAAAGAGTTTTGCTTGAGAAAAACAAGAGGGCCATGTACAATGATTTCGCTCGACGAATGAAGCTATGTTTTGGAGAAAAATAACTGGAAAAGACAGCTAAGTAAATATACCAAGGTCAATTATTGAAGGGAGTCTAGGATCAAAATGATGAAGTTAAGAGGGCGAAAAAGTGATTGGGGTGCTTTTTATAAACTGAGTTTGATAATGAGAAGCGACGTGCCAGCGTACCTCAAGCAGAAGTATTCAACGAGTGCATATTTACTGCGATGACACATGGCTTTAATACATTGACAGTGAGGAAGCGAATGAAACAAAAGATGAAATGCATGCATCGAGAGGGGCATGCTTAGAATTACAATGTAAGACGCGAGAAGGAACACACGGACCGGAGGCCAAAAGCAAATGGGAAACATTCTTCCCATTGATGATGGCCGGCTGATGAAAAGTTGATGGACAGTGGATGAGACGGCACACACCATTAGAAAGGATGACGATGGCTGGGGTTAAACTAAAACTAAACTATATTTTACCAGGCAAGACCCACTGAGCCATGTAGCTCTTTTTCAGAAGCGACTTGACTATCACAATGATAGCCCAACGAAGTGGCTCATGTCATGGACATTTATAGCAGCCAAATACTCTAAAACGGGTGACGTTGATTCTTAATGTGGAGGGAAAAACCGGAGGACCCGGAGAAAAATCCACGTGATGACGTGGAGAGAGAACATGCAAACTCCAAGTATACAGGCATCTGGGTCTGGATCAAACCCACTACCTCCCTGTATACCAGGAAAGGTTGTTAACATCTCGCCGCCATGGCAGGTGACGGAATGGCAGCCAAAGAAGCTATTGGAGAGATGACAGCGTTCTTTGTTCAGAAGAGTCAGTAGGTTTGGGAAGGATGATTTGCCGGTGGATGAGACCTGATGGTGGATTGGCAGCCAATGGTGGGAACACATCTGAGGGGACGTAGCATGGGAAATCGACTGGTGTTTCAGTAGTTCTATTGATTGTTGCATTGCAAAGGCCGTGTGGGGTATCAACAGCTTGTGGGGGAGGCCTCCCCCCCCCCCAAGCAGTGGATAAAGCACGGCTGTTAATGATTATCACTAGTCTAGCAATTGTTACTAAAGTCGATATGTCACATTTTTTTTACTTGAACGGAGTGTAATGGACAGCAGAGGTAAAGGATTGCTGGGCTTGGCTGTTCAATCAGCTAGTACAATTAGACGCCCATTCATCTCGCAAGCACCTTTCATCATATGAGTGGAGATTACAGCATTGAACTGATGTCTGCACAAAGAGGCTTTCACCCTATGGGAAGTATTCTTGCTAAGAAAAACAATAATTTGCTGAGTTTGTGACATTTTCAGTCTTGACCTGGATTTCTCTGCCACCAAGATATCAATGCGCTCATTGTTATTTATGCTATATGGGTCATATTACCATACACTGATGACAATAAGAGGTTGTTTGAACACAATTCACCTTACTGGTGAGCGAGGATAGGTTCACACATCACTCATCACCAGTGTTGGTCGGGACTCAAACTCAGGCTGCTGGGTTCACAGTTCATCACCATATCTTCTTTATGCAATCCATGTTTTTTTTTTTAAATATGAATTCCCAAGCCAAACTCAATTCATTAGGAAATCAAAACTGCCGTAAGTGAAATCCTCATCTTAAATGCAAAGCGTTGAAGGCCTTACACCCTTAAGTCCCTTTCTTGAACGCAAGCATAACCCTGGCAGTAATATCACAAGACACCAAAACGGATGACGGCTTCTTAAAATTACGGGCAGAAATGTGCAGAACCTGCACGGAAAATAAACCGGACCCTGCCAACGCTGTCACGGAGCGAGCACGGCACCCGGCGACTACCTCTGTGGGCTCTTGACTCGACGCCCACTCCCCTCAATCAGCAACTGGACAATGGACCTCCTCGTGCAGAGAGAGAGCGAGAGAAGGAGAACTGCACACGTCGCTGCACCTGGCCAGGAGTGCTTCATAGAGATGTGCGTTGTTGTGTGTGGGCGAGCTCGCTTTGGGGATGTCTGCGGTTCTCGTGTGTTGCCCATATGTTTCCTGTTTCCCGCCCAGCTCCTTTACGTCCAAAACACGAATGCGGGGCCGCTCTGTGGATGGGGCGCACATTTTAACAGCCCCGTGTCGATGAGGCGGGGTGGACAGACTAAAAATAACAGAGATTATTTTTACGCTTCGCAGCGGTGGGCCAGTGTGTCCAAGGATGTCGACAAAGCTTCAGATGGGAAAGCTCCATAGAACATCTGAAATGCAGACGCGTTTGATATGATTGATGCTTGGGCGACGTTGGTTTGAAGTCGCAATTAAGTAGGACATCATTCAGGTTCCAACGAAAATAACGTCCGGCGAGGCTGTTACTCGTTCGTAATGAGGTTGCGCAGATGCGTGCTCGTGTGCGCGTGTCCATGGTGCGTGCGTGTATGTGCATTGGTCCCTTGAGCACAGCAGCACTGTATTCCAGTGCTGTGCGTGAGGAGCTTAGATGTCTACCCTCACCGTATTGGTGTCGCAGAGTCTACACTTACTGGGGTCGAGCGTAGCACATGCGAGAGGCGGTGGTTGGCGCGAGACTTGGACGTCTGTTTGCTTTGAATAATAAAAAATAATGAAGCAAAAAAATCGCCTGAACACGCTGAAGCACGTTGCGTTCACTCAGCCGTGTGGTTTTGTCATATTTTGCGGAGAAATCACACCCTTTGGAAGTTAATAACCGGGTTTTAAAAGGCACCGCACGGGTAGATTTATTGGCAAGATGCCGCCAGCGCGTTTATTTCCTTATTTTTTAGGAAATGATCAGCAGAGACAATGAGTTGAAGCGAATAACAAAACAACGAGAATGTGCTCGGCAATTAAAATGAGACGTCGCTTAAAAACGGTAGACCCCCGCGAACCGCTTTTGTTAGCTTCTCATTGAATAGATATATAATAGATATATACGCAGTCGGATGCACGTGGCATTTGTCCAGCTTGCGGTGGCTGTTGGGTGTCAAAATGGCCTTGACATCAATGCATAATAGTTCCCCTGTGTGTACTTGCGTGTTCTTGACCCTCTGGCTATGGAGCAGATGATGTGGGTGTTATATTACACATGGCCGTATAGCAGCAGGTGCCATGTCCCCGTCGCTGTACGCCAGAGTTATGGCATTGCCAGCACATAACTGCCGCCGTGTGAAAGGCGCAAGCGGTGCCCCACTTCTTGCGTGCGCGTTGGGCCAACGTAGACCGGCACGTCCGTGCGAATCGCACGCGCGCCTCTTCGTCGTTTGCAGATGTGATTAGTGACTTTGATCATTACCGGTGTATCGATAGTTCAATGTTAAAATCCAGTGTTATTGAGTGACTACTGCTGTGTGATGTCTTGGTGTGGTCTGGGACTGTTTTGTTGTTGTTTTTTGCTGCCTTGCCCAATCTTGATAAATCGGAATTTTCTCTACTTTGCACTCTTATCGTTTTTGGCTATCGCCTGATGATACTAATTGTAATTACTGGTGAAACGTCGTACTCAAATTGTAAATGTTTTGGGTTTACTTTCCAACCCACCGGTGTGCTGTACTCATAACAAATTGGCACGTTTTGTTTACGTGACAAACCTTACTAGTTGGCTGTGTCGGGTGGTGGCGGGTTTGCCGACACATTCATATTTACGTGATCTAACCCAAAAATCTCTATTATGAAGAACCGTGCTGTTGTAACTTGCTGTCCCTGCCCCTAATGAATATCTGTGAAAAAAGAGCTTCATGGCTCATCGGATTCCTCCTGCAGTCTAAAGAAAGATTAATGATGATTCTGTTTTGGAGAAAGCGGTCGTTGGTGTGGGTGGACGACCGCTGTGCGTCGTGACCTCATGGCTCGATGCACACAAATGGATAAGAGGTCTCAGAAGGTGCCGCCCCCGCCGCTGTGACGTGGCGCTTCAGTTTGCCTCGTACATCTTCACATGGCCCTTGTGTTTGGGGTACAAATGCACAACGTGTGCGCCAGCATTCACACTTGCCGCCCTAAATCAAGCTGTCCGCAGACTTAAGCAAGTGGTCGCAAGACGGCCCAGGTGGCCTGCCAAACAATACGGCATTTATCCGCAAATCCACTCACACAGGCACGTACATATGCACATAATAAAACACCTGCTATGCATAATGTAGTGTAACCTGCCCTCCACATTTGGAAACGTGTCTAGTATATTTGACCGCTATACATTTCTCCATAAGCCACTTCGTTGAGCTATAATTTGTGGCCAGGTCGCTTCTGAAAATGAACTAATAGCTGGTTGCAGTTTATTTATTTATAGTTATTTGCCTACCTTTCCTATACTCTGCACTCCTATAGTTTATGTTGTATTGTTGTTATAACTTTACGACCTGCCCCTACTGCACATCTGTGAAAAAGAGCTTCATAGATCACTTGATTTCTCCAGGATAAATAAATACTCTGATTCCGACACCCAGCCTGGGTGGCTAAGCGATATTGAGTGGCCCGCAATCTGACTGTTGTGAGTTCAAATCCTTTTTGAGGGTTGATTCAGCCTATCATCCTACCAGGGTCGATACAATTCATACCGTCAATGGAGTTAACAACTGTCAACTCATGTGAATGAAGCTTCGGTGCCTTGCGACTCTACGTTTATAGTGATCTTGTGGCAGAACATAGCACGCAAGCTTCAAATGGAACTTTCTTTTCTTGCAGTGCTGGCCCCAAGGGTGATAACATATACGAATGGAGGTCAACCATCCTGGGCCCTCCTGGCTCTGTGTATGAGGGCGGAGTCTTTTTCCTGGACATAACCTTCACTCCAGAATACCCCTTCAAACCACCCAAGGTGAGCTCTCGTTCTATGGACGTTGTGTTCATTGGGCGCATCCGCACCTGAGCCCCCATCCGTCCGTTATGTGAACAAATCGCCACTGGAGTCTGCCGTGAAACTCTATCGTCGTCGTCGCCTGCGAGGGCTTTGACCGCTTCTGGGTGAGTAGTTGCAGCACCGTGGTCACGTCTGGGTGTGGCTTAAAGTGTCTGGCCGCCCCTTAACAGCAGTGTCCCACCCTCCCTTTTCTCGCTTAGCTCCACCCCCACCCACCTTTACGACCAATGATGCGTCCGCAAATGTCAACGTGATGGACTAAGTCGGTAGCAATCATATCTGAGCAGTTCGATCCTCGAAAGTGGAGTCTGCTTTAAGCAAGGGGGGCTGGTGCAGCTGCTTTTGACTTGCAACAAAGACGTCCACACATAAGCAACTCGGTTGCGTGCAACTGGGTTGTGCAACAGATTTCTGAGGTGGGGGTGCGCCCATAAGAACGGCATTCACCAGTAATGGCATAATACTGGGTGTGTTTTTATTTAAAAAAAAAAACCGTAATGAAGTACAGTGCTATATACTTCTTGTTTGTTTTTGCAAAGCTCCTGATAATTTTACGAAGCTATTTTTAATTTCGGGAATGTGTTTTCTTACATGTTTCTTACATATATTGATAGCCTTGTGTGTTTAATACTGTGCCATGCTTGTTTGAGTAAGTGCCTGTGGTTTAGGCTTTTACTTAGAGGGTGGAGTAGTGGGTTAGCACATGGTGCTTGGCATCCGACAACCTGGGTTCAACTCCCAGCCACAGCTGACCGTAGTGGATAAATTTCGATTTAAAGCTTTCGTGACTGCAGGGATTCATATTCTTGGTTCTTTCGGTAAAGTTATTGTTTTATTATTATTTTATTATTTCTCTTCTACGTGACTTTACCGAAAGAACCAAGAATAAGTAGTGGATAACATCTGCACCAGTCCCAGACCTGTCGTAGATGGACTCGGCCTCAAATGAATAAGTGGTGTGGCGTGTACCACATCAGAACTTGGGAGGAAAATGTGGCTGAGCCTGGTGCTGGCTACACAATTCCCGGGTGCACCACGCCGACATAAATAAGTGTTTGCTGATGGCACTTGCCCCCACAATCTGTTAAGGCTAAGTGGGTAATCGTTGCCTCTGTATTATTCGGATGTATAATACCAGTGTCGATTGCTGCGCATTGTGACGTATCCAAAACTAAAGGGCCCCTGTCATTACTCCAGAGTACGCAGTCTAGCGATGTTAGATTCACATTGTGTGACATTCTGTGAAAGGCGAGCGCAGCCCTGCGGGCAGGCACACACATGTTTACGCATTGTACGTAAGACAGGGTGGGGATGAGGATGTTTTGGTTTCTCTTTCATCATTTTTTTAAAATATCCTCCAGCCTTTCAACTAAGACAGTAAGACTGCATGGTATATAACATTTTACCGAATTGAGACTCGGTGAGCAGAGGTCAGAGTTTTCCCGGAATAGTTCACATTGCAACACATCAGGAATGTAACGTCCACCCAGGAGATGGAGCGATGACAATAAATTAATGGGCAGGTGCTCCACAGATTGTGACTGCAGGATCATTAGAAGTGGCTGTGGCTTTGGGGAGGCCTTCATCTGGCAGGGGATTGACCATGGCTAAGTGATGATGAATACATCAATATTGCTAAGATGCATTGTTCATGAATGTGTTTTTGTTGTTGTTATAGTGGGAAAAATTAGCTATGATAGTGGTGTAGTCAGAGAGAGCATTTTGCCAGCAAATTACACAGTGACATTTTTGAACAGGTTAGTAGGCATGTAATAATGCATTGATTCATCAATTTAAATTGATTCCTAATCTCTGGATTCATCCGTTAAACTGCATGGGAGAATCGATCATTTGTGAAAACTAAATGCAAATTGAGCTAGAGCGGTGGCACAGTGGTTCACACACTATGCTATGAATCATGCCACCCGAGTAAGGATGAGTGGAGAAAACTCGTGGTTGACATTGCGGGTAATAGGATCCACAATGTTCATCCTGCTGTAGACAACAGGAGTTTCACCGTGTGTATTGTGAGCACGAGAATACATTTTTTATGGCTGAATCGACACATTCACATTCCTTATAAGCCAGGATTTCTGCTGATGGTGCCAAACAATTTTCCCTTAGGTGACCTTCCGCACTCGCATTTACCACTGCAACATCAACAGCCAGGGAGTCATCTGCCTGGACATTCTCAAGGATAACTGGAGCCCGGCACTCACCATCTCCAAAGTGCTCCTTTCCATCTGTTCCCTCCTCACCGATTGCAACCCTGGTGAGTGGAGCTTTCGCTGAGTTTGCATGTTGCATAAATGCGTAATATTCTACGTGGGTTCTCAAACCTGTGTGGAATCCTGAGTGTGGTCTTTCCCGGGTTTGGGCTGCCACTGTTAGGCGATTCTTCAACCACTGAAGATGCCCGCAGTCGTGCTTGGAGAAAGCCCGAGAGAAGATGTGCTCAATACGGCTAGCTGTGTACGGTGCGATGTTCAAGATGAATGCATAGATAATCAGAGTGAATATTTTTGTTTTCCTGGAGGAATCCGATGAGCCGCCGAAATTCTAGTTGTATATATTTGGATGCAATATATTTCCATGTGGTGAAAGCCACTTCGTTGAGCTGTCATTTCTGGACAGGTCGCACGACAGTTGCAGGTATCTCCCTAAACCAATAGCCAATTGAGAACCTATCCCTACGGTGAGACTGTGGTCACTAACCTCAAGCCACAGAGCGCACATTAACACCACTTGCCCTCTTTGATCATTCACCGGCAGCGCTTTGCATATTCACCAGGGTGCTCCTGAAGCCATCCGCTGGCTCACTAGCCCACCTCGACACAAATGTATAAACCTTTGCAGATCAATTCTCCGCACCGTAAGAAGTAGTAGATTTTTTTTTTATTCAACGCATATTGCCCTGTTTTGTGCATTCTGAGTTAGACTAACAACACCTGTAGAGCAGTTTTATGTTATGTTGTCTCTTTCCAGCAGGTTGTAGAAATTACTGAAGTTATTGTGACAGGCAGTATCTAACAGCAAGCTAAATGCCAGTTGTAATAAGGTGTGCTGTGTACAGGCATATGAGCGGGCCACTTCAAGCCAAGCAAGCTACTACCAGTAACTATCATGTGGCACCAGTGAAATGCAGTTTCCCTTTCTTTCCAGTGTCATCCTTATTATTGATAGCTGATGTTCATAACGGACACTTTCCATCTCCCGTGACCTTCAGCGTCTCTCAAGGAGAAGTCCTGTCCAACCAATCATATTGTCTCCCACCGTAATCTGTTTCCTCCTTCTTCCTCCTCCTCCTCTCTTCAAGTTTCCATTGCAGAATCATCTTCATCGCAGCCCCAGCTTAGGATGTGCCCCGCACATGCTAGCCCTGCCTTGCCAGCAGTATGAATAGGCATACCACAGTTAGTCGGTTTAACATGTAGGCTTTTGTGACCAATATCATCCGTAATATAGGTTTTTTGGGTTAGATCGCATAAATATAACCCAACCTGTAATGGATACCCATTGTAATTTATATGCGTTCATTAATCCCCCCCCCCCTTCACACGTGAAGGGCTCACAAGTGACGTCATCACATCTATCCCTCTATTTAAGGAACGAAACAGGAGGATTTCTCCACAAATCTGGTTGTCGCCTGATGAAGCTAGCTGTAATTACTGGCGAAACATCGTACTCGGATTGTAAATGTAGTGGATTTGCTCTCCAACCCACCGGTATTCTGTACTAGTAATTAATTGGCATGTTCTGTTTTCGTGACAAACCTTAGTAATTGGCTGTGGCGGGTTTTACGACACATTTAGATTTACGCGATCTAACCAAAAAAAAACATGTATTATGCACAGTTAGTCGATTGCCGGCTGGGTCGCATGTGGTGGGAAGTAATGTGTGGCTTCTCCCGCCTCTTCCAAGACATCTCGCCAGTGTGGAAGAGTAGGCCAAATAACCTCTGGAGGTGTTCTCTAGTTCTCTCGAGCTCCCTCTGCCAGGAAGGGCTCCCCCCCTGCCCCCCCGCCGCCATGTTTGCCGCATCAGAGTGCGTGATTTGCGCGCGTTTCTCTGCCACCGCTTTCGTTGGTCACAGCGGACCCGCTCGTGGGGAGCATCGCCACGCAGTACCTGACGAACAGGAGCGAGCACGACCGGACCGCGCGGCAGTGGACCAAGCGCTACGCAACGTAAACGGGCGAAGCACGACGCTGTCCCCTCGTGATGCTGCCCCCCCCCTCTCCAACCCTCACTTCTTCCCACCCCCCCCCCTCCCTGCCCCGTGACCGAGCCGAGCCACAGGTCACGCAGCACGACAAACGCCCGCCTCTTACGCTACCCACCCCACCTGCTCCACTCCCCCCCTCCCCCCACCCCACCCACTCTTTCTGATTGGTTCAGATGGCAAGCGAACCCAATATCATCTGCTTTACGCCGGCTAGAGTAAATTTTCACCCACGTGTTGTTGTTGTCATCGGTCTCATTGTTTGGTCATTTTTGCAGCAATACGTGGAGGGGGAAATGGAAGATAAACGAATGATTACGTTAAATTTTCGATTTTTACGTAGTGTGAAAGTGATTTTATGATCTTGATTTAAAGCTTTCGTGACTGCATGGATTCATATTCTTGGTTCTTTCGGTAAAGTCACGTAGAAGGGAAACAAAAAAAAACAATAAAATTCTCACGACGTTTCGACTTTTATGTTTTTCTTTTATTGTTTCCCTTCTACGTGACTTTACCGAAAGAACCAAGAAGATGATTTTATGATCGCTTCGTTTTGATTTGCTGCAAAATATTCACTGCTTTGCAGAAGATATGCATGTATCCATGGGTTTCCATCTAATAATGAAGTCTTCATACACAAGTGGAACAATGCATCTGTTCATCGATTAATTCTTGAGCTCGCGATACATGCATGAAATCACGTGTCGCAATGGATTTTTTTTCAATTTGTATAACGTTGTATGTGATTGGTTCACATTACCCCTGCAGTCACACTAGGAAGCAACTACCGTTCTCTCCGCAATGTTAAAATTACATAAATTCTTAAATGGAATCGTGACAATTCATTGAATCTCCAGAGGCGGGGGAGAGGGGTGAATTGTTCCACTCTACCATCTGTCGATCCGTTTGCCTGTACGATATTTGGGGTTGCATTTGAACTGCCGGTCAGAAAGTAACTTTGTGTTTTTTACAATCGTTTGTCATTTCACGAATGTGTTGTTTTATTTTGTTGAGCAATGGTGTGGTAAGATTGTAATGAACATTGCGTCACCTTTCTGTTATTGCAGAAAAGTTAATTGGGTAACCTTCTGATGAGTCACGCATCGGCTGATTTTGCTCATTTTTTGGGCACACGGAGGTGACGCTTTAAAAGCTTCGCACTGCGCGTAAAGGAAGCTTGTTTGTCATGTTGCGTAAGCAGTCATTCGTATGATATAGCCGTACAAAGCTGCTCATCGTGGCTTCTCTTGAATCTGTCGCTGCGATATCAGTTGAATAGAAATAAGAGTATAGACGCTGCTGAAGACTTGACTTGAAGGGTGGCACAATTTTGCCAATGCTTGTTACATTAGTTTAAAATAAATTACTTGGCACCCGACCCCTCACGAGATAAGTTCAAGACTCCAACACAGAGCTCTGGTTGAAATTAAAATGATGCAAGTTCCTCGTAAACACGAGTTAGGAAAACAAGCAAATTGCCATTTGGCACGTTTCAGAGTAGCAGCAGCAGCAGTTTGACACTCTGCTTGTTTGGTTTGCAAATGTGAATGCTTTTATGCTGCTGATATTATAAAACTGCTTTTGGGAAGTTCCAGCGACGTTTTTCTTTCAAGGCTCACCTTTGTCACAACAGACTTGGCATATCCGCACTCTTGTGGTACAAAGGGCCTTTATGGAACATCCCTTGTTCTACTGCAGCAAAATATCCACACATTAACGTGTGTTTTGGTATGTTGAATTGTGTTTCTTTGCTACCCTTTGTACAAGTCGATCTGTTTATAGGCACTCCGCTAAAATAACGGGGAGAAATTACAGAGGGAATTACATTTTATTTTAAGCCTCTACATGTCTGCCATCACTGTCAATAAACATTACATCTTTTGAAACTCGCCCAATATTTTTATTTTTAAAACCGGGCCTGCACAATATTTAATCAGCTCTTTAGGTGACAGCAAGAGCGTTATTAGAAATGAGTGGAGTGTCTGTAGATGGATCACCCTGCATGTTTTACATATGTACAGTGAGGGAAAAAAGTATTTGATCCCCTGCTGATTTTGTACGTCTGCCCACTGACAAAGAAATGATCAGTGTATAATTTTAATGGTAGGTTTATTTGAACAGTGAGAGACAGAATAACAACAACAAAATCCAGAAAAACGCATGTCAAAAATGTTATAAATTGATTTGCATTTTAATGAGGGAAATAAGTATTTGACCCCTCTGCAAAACATGACTTAGTACTTGGTGGCAAAAGCCTTGTTGGCAATCACAGAGGTCAGACGTTTCTTGTAGTTGGCCACCAGGTTTGCACACATCTCAGGAGGGATTTTGTCCCACTCCTCTTTGCAGATCTTTTCCAAGTCATTAAGGTTTCGAGGCTGATGTTTGGCAACTCGAACCTTCAGCTCCCTCCACAGAGTTTCTATGGGATTAAGGTCTGGAGACTGGCTTGGCCACTCCAGGACCTTAATGTGCTTCTTCTTGAGCCACTCATTTGTTGCCTTGGCCGTGTGTTTTGGGTCATTGTCATGCTGGAATACCCATCCACGACCCATTTTCAATGCCCTGGCTGAGGGAAGGAGGTTCTCACCCAAGATTTGACGGTACATGGCTCCGTCCATCGTTCCTTTGATGCGGTGAAGTTGTCTTGTCCCCTTAGCAGAAAAACACCCCCAAAGCATAATGTTTCCACCTCCATGTTTGACGGTGGGGATGGTGTTCTTGGGGTCATAGGCAGCATTCCTCCTCCTCCAAACACGGCGAGTTGAGTTGATGCCATAGAGCTCCATTTTGGTCTCATCTGACCACAACACTTTCACCCAGTTGTCCTCTGAATCATTCAGATGTTCATTGGCAAACTTCAGACGGGCATGTATATGTGCTTTCTTGAGCAGGGGGACCTTGTGGGCGCTGTAGGATTTCAGTCCTTCATGGCATAGTGTGTTACCAATTGTTTTCTTGGTGACTATGGTCCCAGCTGCCTTGAGATCATTGACAAGATCTTCCCGTGTAGTTCTGGGCTGATTCCTCACCGTTCTCATGATCATTGCAACTCCACGAGGTGAGATCTTGCATGGAGCCCCAGGCCGAGGGAGATTGACAGTTCTTTTGTGGTTCTTCCATTTGCGAATATTTGCACAAACTGTTGTCACCTTCTCACCAAGCTGCTTGGCAATGGTCTTGTAGCCCATTCCAGCCTTGTGTAGGTCTACAGTCTTGTCCCTGACATCCTTGGAGAGCTTTTTGGTCTTGGCCATGGTGGAGAGTTTGGAATCTGATTGATTGCTTCTGTGGACAGGTGTCTTTTATACAGGTAACAAGCTGAGATGAGGACCACTCCCTTTAAGAGTTTGCTCCTCATCTCAGCTCGTTACCTGTATAAAAGACACCTGGGAGCCAGAAATCTTTCTGATTGAGAGGGGGTCAAATACTTATTTCCCTCATTAAAATGCAAATCAATTTATAACATTTTTTTACATGCGTTTTTCTGGATTTTTTTGGTTATTCTGTCTCTCACTTCAAATAAACCTACTATTGAAATTATAGACTGATCATTTCTTTGTCAGGGGGCAAACGTACAAAATCAGCAGGGGATCAAATACTTTTTTTTTCCCTCACTGTACAACCAACACTTCGTTGGTTTGAATTGGTTTAATTATTTGGAGAATTTTGTCCAATTTAAAACTACACAGCTGCTGTCCGTGCAGATAATTTAGCCAAAATGCAGTGGGTCTGGCAAATTATAACATTACCGTTAACACTAGAACGATATAAAGTACTGTATACATGTTTCTAAATGGTCTCTTCTGGATATTTTTTTTACAGTGTCCAGGAAAATTGTTCAGATTACAAAGTACAATGAAGGAAAAATGCTTACTGAGACATTTGTGAATATGCGTTTCAGGATTTGTACTCTGGAAAATAAAGTAGCAGTTTAAGTGTTAAGTTAAACTTGAACCGGTATATTAACAATGCATGATTTAAAGAAAGACACGTACAATTTATGCACCAACAGATTCAACTTCATGGTGGACAGCTACAATTTTCTACTGCATAACATAAGCTCTATAGCCTAGGGTTGGTTGGTCTTTAGAACACAGTTAATGACTTGCTTCAATCACTTGCGTTTATTAAGTTAATCAACCCGCTTGTTATGTGGTGTCTTATCCTACACGATGAAAGATTTTAATACCATATAAGGGCAGCTTGTGATATGTAGTACATTTTAACCTAGACATATATATCTCATCCTGCAGTATTTGTTTTGCACATAGATGTGTTTTGTGTTAAACGCCTATAAATATTTGTTGTGTTCATAGTCATCGTCACCAGCCACGCTCAATCCACTGTTGGATGAAGGCCTTCCCCCAAGCCACGGTCATCATCTCTTCGTACAATCCTGAGATGTGGTAAAAAAAAGAAAAATTCAATCCAGCTCGCGTGCCCGAACTGATTTCATCTCCCCATCTTTCTCGGTGGATGCGTTCCCATGCCTTGGCTGCCACGAACCTTTAAGTATGGAAATAAAACACTTCAAAGTACTCTTAATTGTCGAATGAATTCCCAACTGCGCGATTGCCTTTGACGCTGTTCGCGAAGCAATCGAACAACGTCCAGTTCTCATGTGTAATGTTTGAAGTTGGTTTTTAATATATTCTAAAATGCCGTACGAAACATTATTGTGCAGTTTACGCTGTGCTAAAATGGATGCGTCACTTTCGTGGCATATCGCAGTGACACGCAGTACCGATAATGCTGCATGTTCGCAAAATAAATCTTTTGTTGCGTCGTGGTCATGTGAAAATATTGGCGATGGATGATAGAGTGCTGTCTGCCTTGTGTTTAATTAAACTTCGTCGCTAGTTACGGATGTGACGTGCAACGTAACTTGAGATTCAATGTGGAACTCGAAGCCGCTGTTATGGCTTTGATGTAATACAAAGCAGACAACGCTGTCTAAAAATAATAAAAACCCGCTCGCACTTCTGCGTGGAAAGGGATTTTTAATTTAGCCACAAACACGGTGGTGGTCACTTGTTGGTGTAAAAAAAAAAACTTATGAAAGGACGTTGCTGCCATTGTGTATCAGGCTGACGGAGGCAACCTTTTCGAGTTCAGTTGGCTATATTTGAAAATGCAATACACGAGACCCTGTTGCCCAAGAATCCTATCATCCGCAGGAGCTGTAGGGTCTGCGATGTCTACAATTATCCGCGACCCAATTCTTATTTACGATTATCTCCGCATGTTTTTCTTCCTTGGATAAGTAAAGTATTCCCTCATTATTCGTAATCTGTGGTTTTGTATATCCACGAATCGCGTCTGGAACGCAACACGGCTGCATCGACAGAGAGAGAATGTGATGCGGGAAAGTGATGAGATGAAGTGATGGGAGATAAAGTGATGAGAGATAAAGCGACGACAGATAAAGTGATGAGATTATTTTCATGTATTTAATAGCTTTATTAATTTGCTATTCAAGAGCATCTCCAGAATGTATCCCTCGTCAATAACGAGAGAATACTAATAAAATGCGTCATAAGTTAGTACAATTAGTATCCATGCCATTCTTATAGTGCAAGGCTATCAGGAAGGATGGTACTTTTACAGACATCCTCTGCAGTCGTTTCACTGCAGGGCCGCTATGTTGCTATGTGCAATCCTAATTGAGTAATTTTCGGTGCAATTTTAAATATCTCTTTTTGAGCGACGTCACGGGATGATTAACGTCCGCTGCGAAGCAGACGGTGCACACATTTGACGGTTATTGCATCAGCGATATTAACCAGGGGAGCCTGCCAAATTTAAACTACTAACCTCTGCCCCAAAGTGGAGTCAATTCATGAACAACTCCGTGGACAATAGGATCTGCGACATTCGTTCCCCATCATTCCGTGGTTAAAGAGGAGGCAAATTTGCTCCTCTCCTTCCCACATTAACCAAGTGGTCCCCAGGATGTATTACCTAGGCATGTAACAACGGATATATTTATCGGTAAAAATCATCGATTCGATTCATGATACTTGCATCAAATAATGTGCATGTGCATGGATTATTTACAATGTATGCAAATTGTATGCTAATTTCGCATTTAGCCTCATGGTGTGGCGAAAACTGTAAACATTTGTTTTTATCAAGAAACAATGCAAATGAGGTGATAAAAATCTGACCGAAATATAATTCATTCTTGAATTGAATTGTGACCATGAATCGTGACAACTCAAAGAATCGCCGTGGGATGACTGGTTACATGCCTGGTAATTTTGTCATGCAAGAATACTTTTTGAAAGCGAAACTTTAAATAACAACCATTTGACTATGCTTCTGAACAGCCTAGCCCAGAGGTTGGAAACCTGCAGTTCCGAAGCCGCGCGTGCATTGATTGTGGCTCTTGAAATATCGTTTCTTTTTTGCCAATTACAAAATCAAATGTCTCTTGTTATTTTTGTTGCCGACCCCCTGGGGACCGAACGGCATGAGGGCCATGCTAAGCCAGCCCGGCATGGCTCAGCCAGGTTGCGTTTCCATTGCACAAGCCGAGCCGCGCCAATGACGTCCACGCGTAGAACGAGTCGCGACGCACGCAGATGGCGCAGTGATGTGTTCTCAAATCGTGCCGACTCACGTTTTTCTCCACGCCATACACACGTCACTAGCCCCGCTCTGCCTCCCACCCGCCCCCGGCTAGCCCTGCTTGGCATTTGAGCTGGATTCAGATGGCACCGAGGATTAGGTTCCATCTCGGCATGGAGAATCGCCAGTGGGACATCACCGGCACGGTGAGGGTCCTGCATTGGCTTGGCACGGATGTGCCAATGGAAAAGCGGTATCTTGTTAATACGTGCTGACCTGTAAGCCTAGTTGCAAGTGTATTCTGAGCAGGTGGTTGTGTGAAAAAAAAGATTTCCCCTGTGTGTGTGTTCCATCGTGGTAATAATTGACCCGCCACTTTTCATATGTACTCTACGTCATTGTAAAGACTCACACGGTTTGCGATGTGTTTAAGAGACCTGTATAGATTTAGTCAAATCTTACTCGCGCTTGCCTTGCTTGAGAAGAGAAAAGTGGTTTAACTTTAGGTACTTTAAATGTAAAACATGTTTAAGTAATAAACATGAGGAGGTGGTGGGGAAGGGC